TTTATTTTTTCCTAACCTAAAAAATAAAATATTATCGTTACCCAAAAAAAAAAAAAGGAGACATGTCATGACAATATTACCTGATCAACAAGCACTTACCGATTTTAACTATGTTTTAGACTAAAGTAATTTTGAACTTCGAAAAAGCCTTGACAAATACACACTTTTGTTTGTCTAGATAATATTTTTGAAAATTTAAAATTCAAAGTCATTAATGAGAAATGTGTAATTGGTAAATTGTACACAACAAGTTCAAGGAGCGTCTTACTACGATAGTTAATGACGAATTTTCCAATGAACGAATAATATTTGAAAGAAAAACAAGATAAAATATTATTTATCGCATCGCTCAAATCTTTAATATCAAACATAGCGAATCCTCATTATGTCAACATTACGCCTATTACTCGTGAGGAATTGGGAACAAGGAGAGAGGGCATAATAAATATGATTAGACGATACGATTTTTATTTATTATTTTTTTTTTCCAATGTGCAACCCACCTTATTAAATAAGAAAAAAAATGCAAGGTACGATTCAATCACAGATGGATATAAATTGAAAACACAAACCATATATTTTAATTCTTCCAAGTCAGAAGTCGTGTCACATTTTCCAGTATAAATCTTCAACACTATCTGGCTCATAGATTAAACGCAGTCGATGGCCTAATCCAAGACTAAAAAACTAATTAATATGGCAACTATTTCAACATAATTCAGAACAAACAATGCTGCAGCATGTCAATTTGTAATTCAAGGAGACATTGTCCAGCGAGTTCACTAAGAACTTTTTACTAGGTTTACTGTCTTTAGACTGCTCGAGATTCACTTCACCCGGCACAGATATAGGTCCCAATTTTGAAGCTCATGGAGAGAATAAGGACCCAGAAGAATATGAAATCGAACCAACCCCTAGAAGTCGCAGAAACAGCCTTCCCTGGAAGTAGGCTAACCTGTGATTCCAAGTTAGCAGAACCATTGGCGCCTTGTGACAAGCCAAATGAAAGAACAATATTGAAATTCTGGCTCTTGCTAAAAGATTGGTCTGTTCCATTGCCATTGACTGTCAAATTCCTTATTTGAATTATGCCAGTCGTAATATGTGCCGAATTGGAAGCAAATTTTAGAAGAAGAGTTGCATTTTTTGAAGGAAACTCTGATGAAAATGCCATGGGAGTTAACATTATGCCTCCGTCCACTTGGATGGAGGCAATTCTCCAAGCCTCCGTCCAAGTCATGCCTCCGTCCACTTGGATGGAGACATTTCTCCATGCATCCAATGGAGGAGAATGAATTGCACTTATAGAGCAAAATCAACGAGTAGATGACTAATGTGAAACAAACTTATAGATTAAAGTTCGATGACCAATATTAAACCATTTAATTCTTCTCCAACTGCTCCTCTATATTCTTTGGGTTCTCAAGAAGAAAAGATCTGTCAAAATTTGATTTTCTTAACTATTGTTTTCTTTCTAGATATCTTTTTATTTCTAATGCTCAGTCTGCTAATTTATATAGACAAAATAGTGCTGCATCATCTTTTTCTGATGGTAGTATAAGAGGGAAAGAGAGATTTGGAGTGAAGAGGTTGAAATAGGAAAGGTTGTATCAAGAGTTAGAGATGAAGATGAAGATGGCTCTAATGGAAGTTCATTTTGTTGTGTTCAATACTTCATATCTATGATTTCATAGTTGAGTTATGATATAATCTTGATTTACCATTTGAAAAGACATCATTAATGGTCTTGTTGGCATTTCTCTATCAAATGGTGTAATCCCTCAGTCCCCAATGCATACAAAATGTCTAGCTACTTTCACCGGCCTCCGTGTGCGCACGGAGACCTCCGTGCACGATATATATATATATATATATATTTTTACAATGCTACCAATATTGGAATATTGGAACTTGTGCTAATAATCTATTTTAAGTTTATAGTCAGCCAAATAACTAAAATTTTGGTTCATTGGGCAGTGCTATTTGCCTATTAATTGTTGTTGGATGCTTGTTAGGTTATATCAAATGGGAAGTTGATTGTTGTTGGATACTTCAGAAAAAAATAATTCCTTCATACTTCATCAGGTGAAGGAAACCATCAACCAACATCAATCCCAAAATAAAATCATTTCTATCTTATCGACAATAATCAACTAACATGCAACGCACGTTCTTTTCACTAGTGGTGAAGAAAAGCCCCAAATTACCTTCATTATTTTTTTGGTTTTTATCATTTTGAGTACATATATAATTTAATTTGAACGCTTTTCGCAACGTTTTAAAAAACCGTTGCGGAAGATGCTTTTCACAACGTTTAAAAAACGTTGCGAAAAATAAAAAATTTCGTAACCCTAAAAAAACGTTGCAAAAGGGCAACATTAGCAACATTCACTTAAAAAATGTTGCCAAAGCTCAATTTTGTTAAGCAATGGAAACATTCACGTATTAGAATGTTGCGATAGACTCCTTTAGCAACATTTAACTAGCGAATGTTGCCTTTTATGTGTTGCAAATGATGATTTTTGGTGTAGTGGATCTTGGATTACAGGATGTGATGGTGGAATTGGACTCTAAGGTTATGGTTCAATGGATGGAGAAATGAGCTTGCTCTCTATGGGTTCTCCAGGATTTTTAGGTTGAAGTTCTAGTTTTGGTTCAAACGATGAATGTTAGGATCCGACATATGTTTTGGGAGGAAAATATAGCTGCAGACTTTCTTGCATCTTCTATTGAGTTCTTTCATGGAGATACTGTACTGACTCTTATTCGTAGTATTTTACACCCATATTGTTGGGAATTACTGCATATTAGTCGTTAATTTTTCCATTTTTTCTTTGTTTGATGCTAGAATATTTTAGCATGGGTTTCCTCTACCACAAGTGAGGATTTCTGAACAAGATTTGCTGTTTCGTAAAAATAAATAAATAAAATCTGAAATATTCAGTTCATTAAACCCCTATTTAATTGAGATTAAAATCAAATTTTTAGTATATTTTGATAAAATTTGATGAAATGTGTGGTTGAAAAGTTGTGGATCTCATGTAATATGTGATTAAAATTAATTGTTGACTTTAACTTAGATAAAATAGCAAATAGTATGGAAATTAATTATAACAAAACATGCCTAGAAATAATTAATAAATTTCTAAAGGTTATTGAAGAGGTAACTTCTTGGTGCAGTTCATCACTTGAAGAGAGAAGGCGAAAAAATCAGCAACATCTTTGCACCATTAAATAGGCGCATGTGAAGAATTTAAGGGAAATGACAGAACTTTGCACCGTGACTCCTCATGAATGCACTGCAAGCTGTCTTCGACTGCAACATGACCAAGTCAAAAGGGCCCTGGGTTACAACACTATATACAACCTTAAACAGACTAAACTGCCTTGTGCCGTTTGACCGCATGGTTGTCAATAAACCGCAAGGTGAATCTAATACCTATCTTTTTGATATGTTGCCTCATAAGAGATGCAATTATGTATCTTCACAAATGCGTACCCAACCTCTGTTAATAATTTGGCATTTTATCAACATTTTACACGATACTAGTTGCTTGTTCGACATTATTTTCAAGCAAGAAACTTTATTATATTCTCTGAGGTGCCAGTCATTGCATTGTGCTGCCGTATTGAAAACGTGTGAACAAGCTGGTGGAGATTATATTAATGTGAAAATTTTCAGTTAAAAAGGTTGCCACCCAGCTATTTGTTTGCTATTAATTCAGCGGCTTTAGTTGATACAGAGTGGAAGAATACAAGCTCGACTACTTGAGGGGTGGTCTTGAAAGGTAAACGGCAAAAGGAGGCTTACATTGAATTTTGAAATACTGCGAAATTGTGCTGCACACCAAATGTTTGAGGGTAAAGAAATTCATGGGTAGATAATTAGTAATAGGACAGTACTGATTCACACTTGTTTTGTTAGATGATGAGGGAGAATCTGAAGTCAAATGGCATCTCTATTCCAACTTCAAAATGGTATAAAACCCCAACTTGGTGTGAAAATGATGCTCCAACCAAACTTCAAATTCTCACACCAAATTAGATTAATGAATAGTGTTGCACCAAATTATTTCTCATTTGATGTAATGTATATAGTTTAATTATTTTCCATTTTGTCCTTCATTTTAAACTAGAACAAATTTTAATTTCAATTATATCATTTTTATATCCTTTTATGAATTATTAAATTACTTTTGTATATATTTGTTGTAATTTGATTATTATTTTTATTAACATTCATAATAAATTGTAATTAATCATGTTATAAATAATAACTTCTGAACATATTAAAATTAAATTCACTTATTAAAATTCGAAAGTAATAGAATATGTAATTAAATATTTTTGAAAGAAATTAGTTGTTCAGAATTTAAAAGAAAAAAGGAAGAAGAAATAAAGGAAATATTTTTTTTGTGTAACATTTGGTGTAATGGTTTCGAAATAACTAAATAAGATGGTGTGAAAGTTGTACAATTTTGGTGAAATTGGGTTGGAGATGGCCTGAGAGCAAGTTAATTAAATGAGTAATTACTTAACTTTATACTTGGTTACTACTTATTCACTCGACAAAAATTATTACTTGTTGCTCACTTAACTAACATAATCTGTGTGCCACATCGAATTTCCATGCTATAGTTGGAAATTTCTGTTCAATTGGACAGAAATGAGACGATGGATGGATGGGTAAATGTATGAATAGTTGAGTGGAGAATCAATAATCTTTTTTTGTTAAGTCAGCCAGAAATAATCAATGATAAAAATTAACTTGAATAAATCCATGAAGCAGAGGCTGCATTGCAAAGTGAGCTGCGTCATAGGACTTATTTATGTGGGTCTCTTCAAAATTTTATGGTAGAAAATAAGGAGTTGGCAAGTAAATTCAGTGAAGAAGGAAATGGAAGAAAAGTAGTTGAAGAAGATTGAAAAGTAACAAATTCTTGGAATAGTAGAGAAGGCACTAATGAGACAAGAAGTTCAGCTAATTGTGATAGAGATAGCATGTGGAATAGAGAGAAATAGGCCTGAGAGCAATTGGTAAAGTTGTGGTAGTATGGAGGAGCAGAGGAAGGTTAATTGTTGATTGGGTTGAGTAGTATGCTCCTTACCTTTTCTAAGACTTCAGATGATACTATACTAGATTTGTGTTCATTTAAATACAGCACAAGCAACGGTCCTGCTCGTTGTCAGAATGATGGAGGAAGAATTGCAGAAAACATCAGATTTTCAGGTTTCCGAGAAGTTGAGGTTGAGTACAACCAGGACTCTAGATAGAGGTGTACTGTTGAAAATTAGAAACATTAATTATATTCCACCAAGAGCAATCAATTAGTAGAAAGAAATGACAACACGAAAGATTTGTAGAGATTCGCTTCAATGTGAGACTACATCATTTTCCCTTGTTGAAGTAATTTACTATGATGAAAAGAAGTTTATAAGAGAAAATCGTACACCTACCTTCTGTAACCTCTCTTTCTCTCTATTATGAAGATTAATGGCAGCTCTCTATTTATAAGATAAATTAGGATAAAATTGAAATTTATAATGATACTAATTCCTAAGCAATCCATAATGAGGTTGATCTACGTACTAGCTCGATGGAGTAGCAATAATGGCTCCAAAACTTAACATGAGCATAAATCAAAGTGCAGGGTAGATAATAGTTTCTCTGGTGAAAAGAGAACATCATGTTCTGGGAGTACTGTTAAAGCCAATGTGCAAACATTACATGAGAGTAATGAAAAGAATGAGCTTAAAAGGTAGTTGATAGACAAAGAAATATGAGTAATGCATGTATATAAATACTATAATGCAGAAGATTGAACACCAAAGGGTTTTCGGGATCAGATTAATCCCAAAAACAATCGGAACCACAAAGAATCAAATGTCACCTACAACTTTACCCACTTCGGTCAAAAACTCACAAAAGGAAGGTGCTATTGCAGCCACACAGGCGACGACCACGCAAGTTGAGGAAAAACCAGAGAAAGAAGAAAGCCAAGATAGAAAGTAGTACGAAGCAGAAGAAAGAAGACAACCAGGTTATAATCTCTCAAGGTTTTGCAATGAACACGGTACAAATGGACAAATCCATATATATTAGTTAGGGTAGGTTTAGGTTAAGTAATGGGCCAAGCCCAATAAAGGTCAATAGGTAGTTGATAAGTGGGCTAAGTACAAAAGTCGTTCAAGGAATTATGGGTCGGGTCACGAGCAACTCTAAATGAATTAGGATACCTT